TACAGAATGGTCTTCCCACGCGTGTATTCATTAAAATCAATTGTTTGACCAAGATCTTCTGGACCTGGTTGTTTGTACTCTCCTTCCTCAATTATGTGAACCTTAACAATGCACATGAACTGAAATCAGCTGATTGTAGCAGGAAGAAAAGAATTTCTGTGTCTATCGACCCAGCGTGCAGATAACCAAAGAACTTTTATAATGCAAGTAACTACATAATTGTAACTATATAACGTTACTGAAAAATGTAATGTGATTACAGTAATGCGTTGCACCCAGCACTGCTGGTAACATTACAGCCCCTCTGAGGGAAGCACAGTAACAGAGAGCTGGAAGTCCCAGCGAAGCTCAGAGAGCCGACGGTTCTCCGTCTGAGTGATTTCTGATGTCAGACACTGTTTGGCATTTAAACACTGACATTTTAAATCAATATAGATGAAGACAGATTAATGGGAACTGTAAATGTCAGAGTGATCAGTGTCAACAACACAAACTCGTGTCATCATCATGTATGATGAAGAGTCTCCCGTCTCTTTAGGGATGCAACATGTGAGTATGAAGTGAGCTCAGAGACTCAAAGGGCTTTCATGCAGGGCTGGTTCATTTTGAGCAGATTATCTGGAGATTCAGCGACTCTGTTTCTGAGCAGCTCGGAACAAACCTCCGCCAACATATTTAATAAAAACACGAATATTCTTTTACTGATTTAGGAGAACTGAACTTCAGTTTCCTCTTACTGATATAAACAGCACCTCTGACACCAACTGAGCTTCACAGGTGACTGACAAGCTGATCGTGGCCAAAACCAATACTGCGTGACATTAAACAAAGGTTAGCGTCATCGATTAGCTGCTGAAGTCATCTGTGAGTTATTAGCAATAATGCTAAGCTAGCTGTAAGTTAGCTACATGCATGAATCTGAGAATGTGAGGATGTAACATTAGCTGATGAAGTCATTTTGCTGTGTGAGGTTTTTGTCCTCATGACATGTGATGTGTCGTGTGATGCTAATGACTAACAGCCACTATGCCTCCACCCGCTTTTAGAAGTGAACGAACTTTCAGATGAGAAGTGAAACGTCTTCAGGAAATCTGCCTTTCAGATGAGTTATGGTGCTGTTTGTTCAGGTTGCACCAATAAAAAGAGTTTTCAGATTAAAGCTTCAGTGTTGATGCTAGAAATGACACTGCTGTCTGATTTTAGAGGGATTTTAGTCATCTTTGATCCCCCACCACTCTGACCGCAGGTGGATTTTAGAGGATTTTATTAAATCAGGAGGCTATAGTCGCAGATCTTTGATGATTATCACTGAGCATCAGTTCGTGACTGTAAAATCATCACTACACATCAGCTCAGAGGGCGACATGTCACTGAGAACCTTCAGCATGTTAAACAGCAGATTAATTGTTTACTTAAAGTTGTGAGGACCGCCTTAATGTCCCTGCAACGCACAGACATCCCCATAACAGCT